TGTTATTTTTTTGTTAAGTATGATATTGTAATAATTTTCTTGTAATTGGCTTTCTTGACATTCTTAATTAAAACCCAATAAAATTATGTTGCAATTATGTACTATAAGTGGTAAATGTAGAAAGTTTATCTAATACATTTCCTTTCTTTGATGTTAATTTCATAAATTTTGTTACAAACATAATGTTGTTACAAACATAAATGTTGTTACAAAATAAATGTTTTGTAGCTTTTTATGTGTATCCTAAGATCGTTTAAGAATCAATGTCCTTATTACATGTTATTTTAAACTGTGAAATTTATTGATTTTGATTCTAATAGGCTTTTTAACAAATATTGTTAAAAAATAAATTTAATAGTGGCCATGTAATCTATAATGATAAGGTTATCTAATTACCTAATTTAATTATTATAACTAACTGCTTACCCTTAAGTTATCTCTACATTAAAGCGAGTTATGCCTTTCATTTCACCTTCTGTGGTCACAAGATAAAACCAAAAATTAAAAAATTCAAGTAAAACTTTTTTCTTTGCATCTAGTGAACTTAAAATAATACAAAACACTTATCATCTCTGTACTTTAATCGCTTATTGGACATTAAAGTACAAAACATAAATGTTTGTAGCTTTTAATGTGTATCCTAATCGTTTAAGAATCAATGTCATTAATTACATGTATTTTAAACTGTGAAATTTTATAGATTTTGTTCTAATAGGCTTTCTTAACAAATATTGTTAAAAAAATAAAATTAATAGTGGCCATGTAAATCTATAATACTAAGGTTATCTAATTACCTAATTTAATTATTTATAACTAACTGCTTACCCTTAAAAGTTATCTCTACATATAAGCGAGTTATTGCCTTTCATTTAACACTTACTGTGGTCACAGGTAAAACCAAAAATTTAAAAATTCAGTAAAACTTTTTCTTTGCATCTAGTGAAACTTAAAAATAATACAAAACAACCTATCATCTCTAGTACTTTAATCGCTTATTGGAACATTGAAGTATATTAACTGGGCTACAATCCCTTGGAACTCTACACAAAGCTAAAACACTAACTGCATCAAACAGAGCCTGACTAACTTTCAACACTTCACAACTGTGTCTATATCAGGCCTTTCAGGTTTGTTGTAATGAGCAGGTCTCTCTCTAGACAAGCAATAGCGGTAACAACCTCCAGTCTTTTGTTATGAGTCATGCTGATTATGATCTTACTTCTCATTTTAACCTCTACCGTTGACATAAATCTGCCTGCTATTTACTAAACCTCTAGACTGACTAAATATGTAACAAATGAGACATAAAAATCAACATGAAGCTAACTATTAGTAAATGTAAGTAAATGTCTCTTCTTTCAAATATGTCCAACTATATAAGTGTAAAATATTTAATCCTACTTGATAAATTGTATAAAGTTTATTTTATCTCAAACTTATTAATCATTAGTTAATTAATTAATGTTTAGTAATAATGCATACTACTCAGGGATCTTTTATTTTTAGATGGTATTACAAAACTGAAATCAGGCATAGAATAGTATTTTTAATTGAATTTATTCAGTTCCCATTTGCTCATAGGTCCTTAATTATTTTCATTAATTGTTATTAAAAGTACTTAATTTCTGTGTGCAGAAATGTGTATGAACCTTGAAAACTGCTTCTAGTTTTTATCCAATACTTTGTCTTCAATAGAATGTTGAATAAACTGGCCATATTTGCACCATTATTACTTCTTTATGCGTGGAACATTTTTATACTTATGAAATTTTATAAATTTTTAAGATGTGTAGAAGTTAATGGTTTTTAAAATGCAAGAAATTAATGAAAAAAATGGTATAAATTAAATAGAATTCTTATATATTATATGTACAATTTATATCATACCATTACTATTTTGTGTAGTCTTGTTATTTTTTTGTTAAAGTATGATATTGTAATAATTTTTCTTGTAATTGGCTTTCTTGACATTCTTAATTAAAACCCAATTAAAATTATGTATGCAATTATGTACTATAAGGTAGGTAAATGTAGAAAGTTTATCTAATACATTTCCTTTCTTTGATGTTAATTTCATAAATTTATTTTGAAACAGAATGAATTCTATATATAAATAATAGTTTTGAAACGTATTTATTAATTATTTTTTCAGTTTAAAGTACTTAGATTATGTTAATTTATATTCTTTATGTGTGAAAATCTGTGAGCCCATATTGTAATTTTTTATTAACGTTTGAAACTAGGTGGGTTGAAAATTCTGTCAAAAATTTAACATACAACTAAGCCATAATTACTCGAGGACAAGTTTCTAAAGGCAGTTTATGCATTGGAAATGGAAAGAAAATGGGGGAAAAAATCAACCCATAATAAATTTTCGAGTCAGAAATATATTCCATTCAGTTATGTCACAAATAGGCTTTAATAATTTTGTTAGCCCTCAAGGGCTATTAATTTTGTTTTGACATTTTATACTGATTCACTATAAATGGCGAATCACTTTTGAAATTGTTGCCACCAAATATTAGAGCCCTGTATGTTATATTTAAAGAAATTAAATAATGAAGAATCTGCATAAATGTATGTATGTTTCTCGCATTGTGATAAAACAAACAGTACCTAGAGCCATCCAATTTTGAATAATGTATGTCTCCACTCGAATATGGGCATCCCGAAACCCAAATTTGGAATCTGTTTTAATATCTATTTCATATTTTGTAAAGCATTTATCTCCAGCGTGCGAGACTGTGTATCGGAAATTTTAAAAATATGCTGTTTTAAATATTTTGCAATATTGCTGTTGGATCAAATTTTATGGTTTAAGTCTGAAGAACATGATATTTAATAAGTAAAGTAAAGGTAACACACAAAACGTTAAAAAAAGGCCCCTATGGGCGTAATATAAAATCTGAAAGCTTTCAGTTTTTTGTTATGTTTCTTTTATAATAAAGGAAAAAATGGAGTTTTTAGAAAGCCTTCGGAATGCCAAATACTGCAGATGTGAAAATTCCAGATAATTGTCCATGTAAAAAATGCAGTTTATGATAGAAAAGCCAAATGAATGAAAGAAATTTCCTATGAAAAATTATAAAAACAGTCATTTTATTTGTTATCAACTTAATTTTCAAGAACCTGCATGTAAAATAATGCAAGATTAAAAAAAAAGTATTTCAAACAAGCAAAGGAAAGCAACTTGTTTTATGTGTTAAACATGCAAAAGTAAAATAGCTTATGTGATTATGAAATCCTAATTGAGCATGGAAATTGGTGAAGATGCCACCAATCATGCTGGCAGAAATTTAAAGGAACAGATAATTCTTTAATCAAAAGATAGGAGTTAAAGATATAGTATATAAAAATGTTAAATCACTTATTATAATTTTTCATGTTTCATTGCCATTATTTATCCATTTTCAAATAAAATGTGTGTGCCCATTAACGCAAACATTTCTTGATGCCAAGACCATGCTTCCTTGGAAGTACTCCAATATGTGTTGTTCTGTAGAAAGCAAAATTTTAACTTTTTTCCTCCCAGAATGGAAGAGAACATGAAAATAGCAGTGCATTTATATCCTTGGTATTATAAAATCTAAACCAGATTATTGAGAATAATTTGGGTTTACCAAGATGAAGATTTTATGATTTTGTTGTGATCTTTGATTGTGTTTTGTGTGTTAACAGTATTGGCATTATTGCAATCACTTTGGTTCATGTTCTATAGATGCTGTAAAATGGCTTTACAAGCATTTAATTTGCTTCATTTTTGAAGGGAGAAATGTTTTTAAATTTCTTTGAATGCCGAGTAGTCAGAATTTTGCCGTACTTTTTTTCTTTTTTTTTTTTTTTTGAGGGAGGCTTAGTATTGTAGAAAATAATATGGAATGTGGGTAATGTAGATTTTATTCATATTGTATTAATGTTTGAGATATAATGCCCTCATGAGAGTGTATTATTTAAAATGAACATGTATTTTTAAGGATAAATGTATATTCATCTAAAATTCTGTGTTATATTTTGAAATTGCCACTTTTAGTTTACTAATTTTCCATCCTCTTACTTTTTAGTATCTCTTGCTGCAACAGCAATTTACTCCTATGCATTTCTTTTGCCAATTATTCTGTGGGGTTTGATGTGGTATCGGCAGAGTTCAAATCGTTATACTCTTCTTGAAATTTTATGTGTCTATGGTTATTCTCTTGCAATTTATGTTCCAATATCGGTATGTATTTTAGGTGGTGTTTATATATATATATTGCCTGCTGTAAACTTTTAGGGATTTTTAATTTAAGATAGTTAAATTTGTATTCTCAAATAGATGTAGACTTAATGTGTGTAAAATGTGTGTGCCCATTAATTAAATACTGAGCTAAAATTTGTGTATCTTGTATTTTTTATTGCTCTTAAAAGTATCAGTTATATCATATTAAATTAATAAAGTTTCTGCATGTGTTTTATATATTCAGCAACTATTATCATTTTTGATTAAATAATTTAACAAATTTCTTTGAAATTATTAATATAGAAATCTTGTGTTAAAGGAATAATGCATTTACAGAATTAATTATGGATACAATAATTGTCATTAAAAACTTCCATTAACCCTTTCAAGTCAGCACACTTTTGTTTAAAATGTTCCATCTGGATGGATGGGAGTCAAAATGAATCATACCCAGAATGAGTGTTTGCATTACTAAATCTAACTTTAGGAGGGGGAATCACATACACACAAAAAAAGGTCAATTCCTAACATCATAATTTTGGTACTATTTTAAATTATCACTTAAGTTACCATACATGTTAAAATTAGCATTTAATGATCTTTTTCCTTTACTTAACATGAAAACATGTAAAAAAAATTGCTGTCTTTTGAGAAATAATTTTTGGAAGCGTATTCAAATTATTTAAGTCTTAATTGACAAAATACAGTAATAAACTTTGAAATTACCAAAAAAAAAAAACGTACAAGAAAGACTATTTACAAGAAGAACAAAATTTTTCATGGGAAGTAGAAGTCAGACACTCGGCGACCTTCGTCTCTGATAAAATGTCTGTATGAGAATCGCTAGAAATATCACTCTCTAACTCTTTAAAATGAATCATCACTCTCATCTATATTGCTAATTGGCTCATTTACCATGTGAGTATGACCTGTCTCTGATAAATGATGCTTGCTCGGCATAATAAACTGAAGTCAAGGTTTTCTGAAATAAAAAAGGAACACGAGAGATAAAATCAATGCAAAGCATAATAAACCCCCCTCACATATTAACCCTGAAATACCCTACATAGTAGTAAAAAAGAAAAAAAGAATCAAAGGGATATCAGAAACGTGACTGTTTAAATCATGTGGTGAGTTAAAGAGCCAAGCTGTGTTTGTTTACATTACTCCCCAACCTCTGCAACAGCTGACAACATTGCGCAGAACATGATCAAACTGATGGTCAAGATCCTAAACTATATTCTCTTCAAAACTAATGGACACAGGACACCATTTAGTGTTCTTTAAAATATGTTTCAACTAAAAATGCCTTGCTTTAATTCTCCACTGATGCGTTTGTGTGCGCCCGTCTCTGAGAGATGTTCGTAGAGGATGCGTACATGGGACGCCGGTCCAGAAAAGGTTAATTTTATGTTATAACCAGTTACCTTAGTTTAAAAAGAATCCTTTGATGCATAGAGCAATAGTTATGTTCCATAATTTAAACAATAGTCTTCCAAAGTATGGTGTGCCATGAAGCTATTTATTGGAGATCATTCATAACTATAAGTAAATTTTTAAATCATAAGTTGTAATCAGATAGATTTATAAACTGTGTAAAATATAGATTAATTTACAGTAGCATTTCAAGGTGCTCTCTTTTATTTCAGATATAATTGAAATTATTGACCATATCTCAGTTCTGAAAACAGCTGCATCATTTAACATTTCAATATCAGTGTTTAAAATAATTTATGAGGAAACAAAAAAGCTTTATATTTAAAAAATCTTTCTGTAGTTGATAAAAAATAAGCTTAAAAAGTAAATAATGCAACAAAGAAGTAGTGGAATCCTTCTTTTTGGGTTTACATATTCTCGTGAGGTAATTTTTTCGTTTCTACAAAAACAAGTGTTGAGATAAATTGAATTTGACATCAAGTATTTGAATTTGTGTATCACTAAGTGTTCAATCAAGATACTCAAAACAAATGAAAAAATACTTCAGCCATACTATGCTGTCTGAAAATATAATTTATTATTCTTTTGTATAAATTATTTCTATTAATGTGTGGTTTTTATATTAGTATATATATTAACCATGGACATTGATATTTTAAATTTTATTTTTGTTTAGTGGTACCACGGCTCCTCTTTTGTGTGTGGTTGGACAAAGGCAAAAAAAATTTAAATTGGTGGTTTAAGCTAGAAAAATAAATTTTGAGTTTAAAAATATGTATTTGTGTTTAATCAGGGAAAAAAATATGCTAACATTTTTTTTTTTTAACTAAGATTGAAGTTTTATCTAAATTTTAATCTACAGTGGTTCAGTGTTATTTAATTTGAATCAGTGTAAGTACTGAAACAATTATAAGCAAAAGTAAATTAATGAATCTGGAAGTTGCATTGTGAAGCATTAGAAACGCATTATGAAATTCAGTTATATATTATTCTCAATTTTATAAAAATGTTACTCACAAAACTCTGTTTTTAGACTGTAATGTTAGTAGCAGTAGCATTTGTAATTCTGCACAAAATTTTGGGTGTAACAGTTTTGGTAATTTTTTTTTTTTTTTTTTTTTTTTTTTTTTAAGGCAGTAGGTGGTAATATTAAAGTAAGCACATATATTCTACTGTCCATGTAATGGTACTTTCATATTCTAAGTTATAATCATTGTAGAAAAAGTATCTGGTTGTAACAAAAGTTTTCTACCAAAACATTTTCTTAATAAAGTTAGGGGGAACATGAAAGGAGTACCTTTAGTGGGGGTCGTACTCACTACCCAAATCTATCATTTTCTCCCAAAATTTTGGTGATTTTTCAAAGCCTTTGGCCTAAAATCTTGGTGGCTGCGAATCCAATAACATCAACCTCGTTTCAGATATCCTGTGCAGAATGGAAGATAGCATCAGCAAGATGTAGTTGCAGGTGTGCAGAAAGGAGTGCTGTTGGAGCTATATGGTGGGTGTGGCAAAAAATACCATTCAACTACTTCCAGGCGGTGAATGCAGACACATGTGATCTTGCATTATCTTGATGGAATATTACCATTTTGCTCTGGAACTCAGTTCGAAGTTTTTCCTTGATAGCAGCATCAACATGGACTAACATCTCACTGCACTCATTATTGTCAAGGATTTTACCTCCCACCAGATAAAAAACATGATCTTTTTGTTTGCCAAATTACGCTTTCTGACACTGCTGATGGTCTTACCAAGTGCAGACCAATCCCCTTTTCGGCCTGTGTTGTTGAAATAAATCACTTTTCATCACAAGTGATGATCTGGTTGAGAATTTTGTCCTTGCATTCATATTCAAGCAGATTAGTGCAGACCCAAACACGTCTGTCCTAATCTGCTTGATTCAGCTCATGCAGCACCCAGCGATTGAACTTGTACATCAAGTTTATGTAATGCATAGCATGACTAATGGATATAATATTAACATCTAACTCCTTAGCAAGCTCTCGAGGGGTTGCATACTGATCTTCTTCAACAAGTTCTCACAGACAGGCCTCATCAACATCAGTAAGCTGGCCAGAGTGCTCTGCTTCTTGAATGTCAGAGTCCTTGTTTTTGAACTTTCGGTACTAAACCTTCACAGTGTCACATTAGTACCTAAAGCTGTATGCATGATTTGGTGAGATTCTGTAGTTGATTTTTTGCAACAGAACTGGAAATATATGATGGTTCTAATTTGGTAGTGTGATACTTCTATTTCAGGCACCCTGTACTTAATGATAACAGTATTTTTTTACAAATTTAACTATACAGTGTTCTAAAGGAAGTCTCTTTCTTTCAATTGCCAAAAATTGTTTGACAAAATATGATTAAATACGGCAATGCAAACTGTTTGCACAGACAATATTTGCGGTGGTGGCAAACTTGCATTCAAACCCAAAATAATCTTCTTCATTCTGGTATGAATTATAACTTTTTATGTGCTAGATTAATTAGATTTATCTATGAGCATGAAGAGATGTAGTAGTGATTTTCAGAGTATCAGAAATTAGTTTCTACTTTTATTATGTAGAATGAAACAATTTTAAATAACTTTTCTAATAGTATAGAGGTGCTATTATTTCATATGTCTTGTTGTGAGACATCAAAGAGACCAATGCTATTTTACTAAATCAGTTTTCCTCTTAATTGAAAGTTGTGTGTAAACTTATATGGTTAGTTAATTACATCTTTATAGATTTCAGTAAGATTTTCCTATTAATTGTTATTTTTGCATTTTGAAATGCATCTTCTTTATTATGAAAATTTAATAGTAAATCATTTTAGCAGTAGAATGGATTTTTTTATCACATTATCATCTATGTAACAGCCATAAAAATATGTAAAATGTATTCTTTGATTTCAACTACTGTCAGATAATTTATTCAGAAAATTATTGTTTAGTCAAAATAAATAAAGCTCTTTATTTAATATTTGAACTGGAATTTATGAGAACACAATGTAATCTTTGAGTATCATGTACTTTAGTAATATCATTATTAATAAGTCTACAATATGGCTAAAAATAGATATGCAATATGTTAGCATATCTACAAAACAATTAATAAGGTGGTAAATTACATATCTATTTCTGTATGAAGAAGGTAATTATATTACTTGGAATATTATGTTTCAGTATAATTAGTAACTATAGAAATAAATTATTATTAATAAATAGTTTAGCAAATTTTATTTTATATGCAAAGCATACAATTTTGTCTTTAATGTATTTTTCATATGTTTTTAAATCTTGTTTATCATGTCTCTACAATGACTTGTCTTCAAGAGTATCTTGCTAATTTAGAAAAGATTGTGTGTAAGCAAAACATCCATGCGAAATTTTACCTGTATTTTAAAAAGTGTCATTATGGGAAAAGCCTGTTTTCTATTATCTTAGGCAAATCTGTAAGTGCCATACACAAATTTATTTATAATTTTTTAAATATTGGCTATGAACAGTAAACAAGTGCTCAAATGCACAGAATCTAAACAAACAGATGGTCTGTTTGTTTAGATTCAAATATAACAATTAAACAGTCCATTAAAACAGGACTTCTGTGCATTAAACAACAGGAATGATCTGTTGTTATCTTGTCCAAGGTGTCAGTGCAGAGGAGTCAAATAGGGCCAAAAGTATCCAGAACAGCAGCAGGAATGATCTCTAATGATATTTTGATAAATGCTGAAGCAACTAAAAGATTGTGGTAAAGAATCAAGGAAACATAAATACATTTTGATACTTAGAATATTAGTTGTATAATAAATGATGAGTGATGGTAAAAATAAACATGAATGTGAGTTGTGGTAAATGTACATGCATAAATTATTTTTTAGATCCTGTGGGTGATTCAAGTGGCTTGGTTTCAGTGGATATTAGTAATAATTGGTGCTGCACTTTCGGGCACTGTACTTCTTCAGACATTTTGGCCCATTTTCAAAGATGAAAACAAAAAGGTATTTGAAATAGTATATTTAATAACATATGCATATATACATATATATATATACTATATAAATATATATATACTACATATATATAATGTAAGCATACTAAATATTTTTAATAACTAATTTATGTTTAAAAGCTTTGATGTCACTCTCTCTTTCATGTGAGCGAAAAGAAACGCAATAGTACCGCCCAATAAAGGATACCCACCTAGCAAGACATTTTATTCCTTAAATAGAGATGGCCCTTTTTCAGAGGGTACATACTAAAAAGTGCAATTTAGTTAGAAATTCAGGTTGTATCAAGTTTTAAATAAATGATATGTAAATATGTAACATAGTCGCAGGTGTTTATTTGAATTCGAAGTTAAAAATGAAAATTTCTAATTTAAAAAGTTTAATTATTGCAAAATGCATGAAAGAACATAGAATTTTGTACTTGCAGAAATTTATTGAAAATAATCCATTACATGGATTTGTTTGAAAGTCTGTGCATTGCAAGCTTTTTTTTTTTTTTTTCACTTGGATTTTAAAGTCACGGATAAGATCTTCACTGATAATGTCTCATTGATCTTCACTGATGATGTCATCAAAGCAAGCCTGATGATGTCTCATTTGGGTCACTAACAAATTATGTTTAAAGCTAAAAAACAAACAAACACCAACTGTACAGCTTCGACTTTCACAATGGGATGTAAGACTTCATCCTGATACAGAACAGCTGTTACTGAATTGTCTTTAAAGATGTGCAGCTGGGTGCCATATCCCACTAAAATTCTACCACATACCACAATGTTGCTACCTGTGAATGCATGATGTTCTGAGCTGTATTCTATGAGCCTCATTCTGCCCAGACCCTTACACTCTTTTCAATTGATTCCAGGGCAAATCTGGAGGACTTCTCCGTGAATAGGATGTTGTGCCAATCAGAGATGGTCCAGTTGAGATGCTGACTTTAATCTTGCCCATCCAGATTGGGTAGTTAGTGAAACACAAACACTTTGTATTCGGGCATACATTCCCTTCATTTCAGTTCATAGTACTGGCCGATATTGTCTTACCAAGTGATGCTGCAACCATTATGTAACTAGGGAAGGACAGACTTTTAATTAGCTTTCTTGGCTTTTCCGGGGGGGGGTGAGAAAAAACGCCAGATGTTCTTTATTTTGAAATTAAAAATCCATTAATTTCAAAATAAAGAACATCTGAATCCCTTAATTTTTCATTTCTTAAGCCAATTGATTGTTCTCAACAATTATTCACACTGCATCTAACCGATGATATAGAAATCCCACCAATTATTGAAATATACTTATCATTCTCATAGCATTTAATGTCGATGTTCAAGATAGTCATTAAAGAACTAAAGAGGAAAAAATTTTGGTGTATATATTTTCAATGTTTTGACCAATGTGAGAAATAAGCTTAAATCTAGATAAGATGAAGAATTTTTTGGCTTTCAGCAGCATATTATTTGAAAGAAAGTTGTCCAGAATTTGCTGAAAAAGTTTAAAAAAAATAATGCACATTTTCTCAAGTCTGCCAAAAATCAGAACAAACGTAATTTAAAAAATTAAAAATTTGCTTTAATTTTAAAAATTTCAAATATTTTTTTAAAGTTTTCTACATTTTTTAATTAAAATTTTTAAACTGAAGTCTAATAATGCATCTTTTATGCTTAAAGAGTCATTATATTATTAACTAAATTAATGAACTAAAACTTTTTTCATTTGTTTTCAAAGCTTTAAAAGATATTTCTTTCATATGGACATTAATTCTAAAATCCTATTCCAATAATTTATAAATAATGCAAAAATAATTAATATATTTTGTTGTGTCCTTTATTCAGAGGGTCTAGGGTTTATTTTTCTAAACTTGGCAACCCTAGATGTAACAGTTTTAAAGGTCACTCATCAGTTCTGCTTGGCAACATACCGATCTTTAGAAAGGGTGGTAACTCTTGGCCAAACAGACATTTATCTCCAGATAACTGGAGTTAACTGTTTGGAATCGTTGCCACATTCGATAAATTACTGAATAATCAACACAAAAAACAAAAAACAAAAAAAGCATCTTTGATAGATTTTCCTGCCTCATCATGTCTCACAGCACACCAGTGCTCACTGTTTCCCATATATCTTCTTTCAGCCATAGAAACAAAAATATCTTAAATTATCCTCAGAAAGTTGTGAACACTTTGTATAAGCATTTAAATGAACCTCCTGAAGCACATCAGATTGCTGCATGTTAAATGACTGCCTTCTTATTAAGCATATGTTCGAACAGTTAATCATCATGGGCTGTAATGTGCGATATTTGTATCCTTCTATCAGCATCCTTAGCGATTTTAAGCCACTCAGATTCAATGCTTTCGAAAACTGACATTTTGCATTAGATGCTGAACTTTTAAAACTTAATATTTTATTCCATTTATGTTGGTTACATTCCTGACAAACTGAATGTTGTCCCTTAATTCTAAAGTCTTGATAAATACTATATTTATTTTAAAGTAAATTATCCTATTGAGAAATAAATGACCAGTTTATAATTTTAGTAAAATACAAACTGTTTCAAACATAAATGTTTAATTAACCCAAAGTGTTGTTATTGAATACTATATAGCATGTAATAAATTATACAGCTAATCTCAATTTAATGCTTTTAGAAATTTTCAACAGTTAATAATTATATTTTACAGTCATCCTGTTGTGTAATTTTCCATAATTTTAATATTTTATATAAAACTAGAGGTTATTCTTTTAATTACAGATTGCTGCTGTTGTTTTATGCTTGATTTTACTCTTCCACGCTCTTTTAGCTGTTGGATTTGTGGTATGTATTTTTTTTTTAATGAAGCAGACGTATTATGTTGAATATTTTTGTTTTTATGACTCTGACAAGGCAGTGTTTTCTATTATTCTTGATTCTGATTAAGATTTGAAAATGATAAATGTCATGGAATTCTCCAAAAGAAATAATATAAAATAATTTTATGTCTTTAAAAATTAAAAATAAATAAATTAAACATTTATGTAATTATAAAATACTGTTAAGGTTGTATTTCTGCTGAAAGTTTTATATTTTAGAACATGAAAAATATGCTTTATTCCTGCAATAAAAATCAAAGTTATCTTGTTTGGCATCATTTTTTGTGCATTTTCCGTAAGATAATTTTCTTTTGAGGATATCTGTGATGTTTAGACCAATTGAAGAAAGTTTAGAAAGCATGTACATTATGTAACTTAAAAATTAATAAATAATAATGCCCTTATATAGATTAGGTAAGTTATTATTTTTTTTTTAACTTTTCCATTGTAATTGAAGTCAGAAGGAGAATTGCCCTAACAATCGCATACATAATGGGATTGAAAAGAAAGCACAAGATTACCTAAAAAAATAAACAGATCTATTTTTTAGCTTAACACCTAACAGCTGATAAAACATTTGATTAAAAAATTGAATTTGGTTTATTAATGGAAAGTATATACTTCTACAGTATGGTTATATCCCTATTTTGATTTCGATTCCATTCTAATGAACAAATGTTAATGAAATTCTGAATATAGGTCTATAAACCAATTTTCTGCTTTTTATGGTAGGTCTATTATTCAACTCATAATATATTTCTGAATAAAATTATAATGGCCTTTATGTTTTTACATAACAATGTATGCATTTAAAGCAATAGAATTTAAAATCATTGACTCATGAGCAACCAAAATATGTCTGAATTAAAGTTCTGAAATCACTAACTTACCTAGTTTGAAAAATTAGTAAACTTAACAAATCATTTTTAATTCTCAAACTGAAAATGTAGTTAACTGTTTTTGGAATTTCATGAATATATATTATAATTTTGTAACATTTTTTGCAGTATCCTGTATAAAACTTAAGAATATTTAAATCCATAGTAAATACTAAGACTAATAATAAATTAAGCTATTTTAAAATCCAATTTTCTTTACAGAAGGTTTTTTTTAGGGAAAAGTATTGTTTTATTATATTCCATAAATCCTTGAAATGCTTTCATTAACACATAAACAATTTTTTTCTTGCTGAAACTGAAGATCTTGGATATTATTTTCTATACGAAGCGCTTAAAACAACAAAATTCAGTTTGCTTATGTTGTTAGGTGCTTATAAATCAATATGCTATTTCTAATATTATTTTACTCCCTTACAGACATATTTCTTTCAAGTTCCAAGTTTCTTCAAAAACTATTGTACCATCTTCTACAGTTCCTACTGATCTACATTCCTCATTTCATCAAGACGTAAGTGATAGTCATATAAAATCTCTCTCTCTTATACAAGACCAAAATGAAGTAAAAGCAAAAGAAAGCAATGACAGTGAAAAAGCTAATAAACTCTTGGAAAAAGAACATAATATTAAGAAGAAGATGACGAGTAAAATCAGTGTCAATGAAGTAACATCTGTCAAATTACCAGTGACGCCTGAAGATGCCGAAAAGAAATTGAATATATCTGGCCACATTGACGCCAGTAAATATTAAATTTTTGCTTTGTATTTCACTGTATATTAATCTTAAGTAAATAGTATGAAGTAAATATATATATGTATGTATAAATGAAGAAGTGTGTTTGCTTATTTGCATGCAATTCATACAAATTACAGTTTTATTCCAATCTTAATGAAATTTCCCTTACTGGGATTTCAAATCAAGAGGAAGGTCTCTGCATAAGATTTTGAAAAACTTCTCCACGAGGTCCACACTCTGGATGTTTATATTAAAACACTGTGTGCATGATACCAATCTTGCATACTCATCATCCATCTTAGGGTCACATTTCCATTGGTCTGTTCCTTCTATCGGTGAAGTCACGCATACTAAGCAAAGAAATTGTATTTTATTTTGAAATCATGTCACTGTTATTGTGTTCCTGCTATCAGTTCTTACTAAAACTGTTAGATGGTGCATGTTTCTTTACTCTATAGAACAGTGGAGAACTTTCAAAGTAGAATTTAAGTGTGCTTTCTATCAGCCCATGAATATTTCCAAAATAGTGAAGAAATACGCCAAAATGCATGATGATTTCCCAAAAGCTCATTTCCAATAACATGGCAACTGTCAATTCTTACTGCATGGTGCCATGTTAGTTCTGAAGTTTATTTGAGCTTGATAAAATTTTGCACAATTCACCTTGAACCAAAATAAGAGAAAAATCAGTGTCTACTTGAGATTTTATGAAAGTGTGCCTCTTTACTCTGTATAAAGCCTGGGTAGTGCCATGCTAACTATGTGTAAACAAGGGCTAATTGGTTGTTATTTGAAGCTTCAACAGTGTCATTCATAAGCAATATATTGCTTCATTTGCTTTGCCAAAAATTAATCCATATTGCTACATCTTTATCTCAGCTTAGCTCATTACTTGTACAGTGAAGTTTATTATGAATAATTAAGGTCACCATTTGTTAAGTTTGCCTTCCACCACATTTCAAATAATATCATTCCAACAGTCAGAAGTTGGTATCATTTTAGTCTTTCGTTTTCCTTGAATTCCAGGCTTGCTCTTTCAAGCCAGCTCTTGATCAAGAACTCAACTACTTAAGACAGTTGCATAACAGGTTTTTCACCTCGTAGTGGTTAAAAAATGTTCATCTCACCATAAAATAAAACATTATTTCATTTGAGAAATTACAAGAATTAGTCATTTCTCCCTTACCATGGATTGATTGGTAATAAAACTGCACATACTTTACAGAAGTTTTAATTTGTATGCTGTTTGCAATAAAATTTGCTCTTTGTTATTTAAAAACCTCCTTTCATATATGAATTTCCAGGGTGTCTATATTCCTTGCCAGTGTGCCTTGATATACAGGGTGATTCATTAAGAAGTATACACTTTCCACTTGCTGTAAAACAGTAACAATCAGAAACACGCACTACCTCAACAAACCAAAAGGTACTCTTAAAGTTTGTGTTTTGCCGCTGATGGAAGTGACATACGTAATAGCATGCATGTCGTGACTAGTCAATTAAAATGGCAACATCTGCAGTGGAGAAGAATTTTTTGTTCTTGAATTTAGGGCCCACCAGCGGCCGAGCGGTAAAGTCGCTGAACACTGGTAGTTCGGTCCGAGGTTCAAATCCCGTGAACGGGCTGGCTGCATGGGCGTTTTCGTGGTTTTCCCCATGTGTAACGTGTATACGAGCCAGTTTCCCTTAGAAAGTCCTCCACGAAGGCATCCCTCCTCTTAGGCAGATAGCCCTCGAGGCTTTGCCATAATCACATACACACACACACCAGTTCTTGAATTTAGCAAAACTGAATCCTCAACTGCTGTCCAATGGCATTTTCTATCACAATTCTGAGAAGAACCTTCAACTAGAAAATCTATCTATCAATGGCATGAAAATTTTAAAATAACGGGCTGTTTGTGCAGAAGTTTAAGTCCTGGATGACTTACTGTACGACTGTTTTGCAAGACATTAGCGTACAGAGTTTCCCCCGCAATTCAACAGAGCCTGGGAAAATCAATGCAAAAGGCGAGTCATGCAGATTTTTCAGTCCACTGTCTGGAGAAGTTTGAGAAAGAAGCTAAAACTAATTCCATACAAAATGCAGGTGTTGCAGAATCTGAGTGACTTTGTCAAACAAAATTTGTGCCGATACACAGCTTCGTTTTGAAAATGACAATTTTGCCAATCGCTTAGTTTTCGCCGATGCAGGATTATTTCATATCAGTGGGAAGGTAAGCATAATGTTTGCTTTTGAGAAACAGAGAATCCCAAATTCACAGCAAACACATGTGATATTCCCATAAGGTAAATGTGTTCTGTGCAGTGTCCAGAAAGAAAGTGTTTGACCCCTTCTTTTTTCATGAGCAAACTGTCATGAGAGCCACGTTTCTGGATATTTTAACTGTTTAGTTGATGCAGGACAACACTGACAACTTCATTCTCCAATTGGATGGTGCACCACCACACGGTTGGCCTAAGTGCGAGATTACCTTAATGAACATCTCACTTACCCATGGATTGGATAAGCCGCAGACTACAACATGACCCTTACTCATTGGTCACCCGGAAATCCTTAAAACCTTGCAATTTCTTCCTGTGAGGGGGAGGTACTTAAAGGACAAGGTATTTGTTCCTCCCCTTCCTGTTGGTCTAGCGGTCTTCCTATTCTCCAATTGGATGGTGCACCACCACACGGTTGGCCTAAGTGCGAGATTACCTTAATGAACATCTCACTTACCCATGGATTGGATAAGCCGCAGACTACAACATGACCCTTACTCATTGGTCACCCGGAAATCCTTAAAACCTTGCAATTTCTTCCTGTGAGGGGGAGGTACTTAAAGGACAAGGTATTCGTTCCTCCCCTTCCTGTTGGTCTAGCGGAGCTGAGTAGCATATCATGGCTGCTATGGATGAACTTGATTCAGATATCTTAACATGCATCTGGCATACATGCCAACCTCTAAAGATAAAAATTCAGAAGATTTCTCCAAAATTCAGAAGAACACGAAGAATTAATATCATGCTTTGATATTAAAAAAATAACAATTTATACAAATAGAAAAAAGAAAATTGTACTTACATTAGTAAATCTCAATTAAGTAGTAACTAAAAAATTTATTAGGAAATATAAAACAAGAACTTAATGTTACACAAAAAAATTATTGCAATGAATTTAGAGTTCATTTTTTGGGTTTTCATCCGCAGAGAACCCGTTGGCGCAGTTGCATTTTTACTCGCCACTGGATGAGCCGAGCCGTAAACGTGATATTTTGTAAACATGGTTTTTAGTGTATGTAAATTCAAGTTAGCAGACAATGGTAGTAAAAATTCACAGATAATAAGTATGTAGATGTAAAACTAACAGGTTAAACGTGATATACGAAAATAAATTTGTATTAAATTCAAGTTAGCACAGAAAGCAATGTATTAAACATAACGGGAAGTAAAAATTCAATTAAAAAATAAAAATTAATATTCTTATACTTACGTTTACATTATACTTATATGTATTTTCTCTAATTCATATAGAATACTAATATTTCTATTGCAAGTGTCTTTTTTCATTATTAAGTACTTTGCTTGGTGATTGATGTATTTCGGTAAGAGCCATGCCCATGTAATAAATTAATGAATGCATGATCCATTGTACATAGTTTTAAGTATTTTTTTTTTTTTTTTTCCAAGTTACTTGCACACAGCTTAAAGCATTTAACGTTGAAACAAATACCTGTCCTTTTTCATAATATATTTCACAATACAAATAACCTTCAACAGTAATCAAATTTTCTTCAGTAGCATTGTTAATAAAACTAGAACTTTATACATTTTAAAATTATTATAGGGGTTGGAATCCTCATGGTTCTGCATGCTTACAGCTGTTAATAATTAAGAACATAACGTGAACAGCCTTGTTACAAATTAGCATTCACCCCTCCCACCATATTTTCTTATTTTGATCCCGAACTGACGAGCCGGGAACCGGCATCTTTCGACGAAAACTTCTTTAATTATGTGAAAATATTTCTATCTATTCGTTGGTAAAAAATTCAGAAAAAATAATAATAAATAAGAGAAGAATAACATAAATCTCCAAATGCGAATGACAACCTTCGCACAAGCGAATAGGATGAATTAGCTAGGTTGCCAGGTTTGAACTATTATCGCCAAAGTTGGCGATGTTTACATTTACCGGGTTCTCTGCGGAAGTGCTTCCCATTTTTTGGCTTTAGCCAAAAATTCTTTGGAAAATTTCCTGTCATAACAATTAGTTTCCTCATAACATTTAGCAATTAAAATGTTTTCTAGAGTTTTTGGTGAAATTGAAGAACGAAACATAGTTTTGTTTTTCTTCACAACACTGAGGACTCTCTCGCACTCAGCATTACTGTGTGGAATTACGAGAATAGCACATAAAACTCTTGCTAGTCTATCATATTTTGGTGTTCCATCAGCTCTTTTTATTCTTTTTAAGGTACCAATGAAGACATCAAGTCTATCTTCTCCAGAACTAGCAAAGTCTTCAAACTGTGCAGCAGAAAATTGGTTCTGTAGTTCATCTAAAGCATCACTAGGGCATTCATTTTCTTTAATTGTTAACAAAAATGGAAATTTATCAATAAAAAAACAAATCTTTTCAAAAGATGAATTTTCAATTTGTTTCAAATTTGCCACTTCAGCATTTAAAAGAACTTCATTTTGCAAAGGAAACTTCCTTACAATGTAATCACAAGCTGAGGAAAAGTACTTTCTAACACATTGAAAAAATTCTTTTTTCTCATGATATTTCAAAGAATTTACAAGTTCCCTGGTTTGATTTCCAATTATAAGATCATTGTCCATCCTTTTGATTTGCCAAACTATTATAGGCAACATATAAAACAACACATGTTTTTCACAACGGACGGCTTTACAAACTTAGTATAAAAGTTCTTTCAAAAGATCATTAAGAATTTGGATAAGCAGGGCAGATTTTGGCGAAGCTGATTGTAGAAGGGTATTTACAACTTTCAAAAATCTTAATGGTACTTAACACAAAACTGCAATATGCTTTGTTCAAATCCGAAGAAAGAAGATAGAAAATCCTTTCCTCCCGGCTAATAGAAGACC